AATTGAGATAAATATTGAAGACCTTGTCGAACATTATTTCGTCTATTAGCTTCTAGCTAGAAAATAAATATGAAATATAGTTCATTCAAAAAAGCTTTACGAAGTATACTATTTAATTAAGTACATTTTCCTAAATTGGATATTCTATAAAATAGATCAAAGCCTATACAAAACTATATTCAAGTTTGTCATGTTGATTTTTAAGAGGAGAAAAAAAATTATTGTTGTAGGGTGAATGAGAAAAGTTATTTTTCATCAAATATGAAGTACTTCTATGCAGTTAACTAATGCTTAAAGTTCAAATTTTTTGCTGAGGTCATTTATTACATATAGTAAGAACGAGATTCAAGATCATACAGTGTTAACTAAATTTTTGTAATTAATAAATCAATTTTTTCTAATCGAATTTCTTTGCATCGTAAATATTTTTCTCTGAAATTTATTGATTAACCCTTACACGACCACCCTTTAGGGCTACTATTCGTTATCCATCTAGGGCCTGGGTCGATTTTAATAAATAAAATAAATAGAATGCACAAAGTTATTATTAGTTTATCACGGACATGTAAAAGCTCTAGAGAAAACTTGCTCACAAGAAGAACAAACAAAAAAAAAATAGTGTGAGCAATATCTATTTACTCGTCTGTCATGATCTTATCATTCTTTACTTCCGAAGCGTTGGGAATCATGTATCATTATACAGCATTCATATATAACTTGAACTACTCTATCAATAAGAAGAACAATTACGTACGATTGACTGTTCTTATCAGTGTACTGTACTAAGTGCCCTCAATATATACCTAATAGGACATGGTTTGATTAATTGTTATCAATGTATAACATTACAATAAATCTTACTCAAATTCAGACGAATCCCGATAGTCAACAAGCGTTCCCATGCACTTCTGGATGGTCTAGTCACATAAATAATAGTTGAGCGTAACTGATGAATATTATCAATATAGTGTACCAGTCTTCACTAGAACACATCCAATAGATAAGTAGTTTCATCTAATATTGTGTATGATAAAAATAGCTGATGTACACGTGGATCCTAGGTGATCGTGTCAAGATTAAATTCAAATATTTTGAAGATTCAACAAATTTATTCTCGAGATCTTATAGAGACGAGTACAAATATAATGAATAGTTCTATCAATTATTTTTCATTTATAACTTCTCTTATATCCACAGATGTTCAAAATTCACAAAATTTATGATTTCAAAATAAAAAAAAAAAGAATTCTAATATCTTAGTTGATTTCTAAATTAGTTGACAAATATTCTTACCGGTATTTCAATATTATGAAGCATCATATATTTTTCTTCATCAGTAGCATTTGGAAATAAAACTTTCATACAATATGTACGATAATCATTATATGGTACACCGGAATGTGATAAATCATTTGTTATTTCTCCTATATCTGTTTGAAGTTCAGCAAATGCTATAATGTATAAAAGAAAAAAAAAGAATTTTATTTTTTATAAATAAAATAGAAAATCGTTTTTTTTTT